ACATACATATATACACATACATATACACACATACATATACACACATACATATATACACATACATATACACACATACATATACACACATACATATACACACATACATATATACACATACACGCACACACACAGACACCCCAACATGTGGCCAACCGACTGAGCTCTTGCGCTGGGCATCAGTCACTGTGCTGTCCTTTTGCAATCTTGTGGCCCAACAAGAGAAAGCTGTCCCCTGACATCGCCCCTCCAAAGTGCAGCACTTCCAGTGAGCCTCCCTGTCCTGCCTGGCCTACGGACAGCCCCTGCCATCCCTCCCGCCCCCACCAAGCATGGGAGTGCTGTGCAGGCAGCTGTGTGGCCTGACAGTCTCTAGCAGTCCTGCTGTCCCTCACACCCATTTCTGGATGGCGGGGAAATGTGTCCTCTGCTGGCTGTGTTCTCTGTGGAGCTCAGGGGAGGGGAAAGGCCAAGCCATTTCTAGGGTGCTGTTGGGAGCGGTGAAAAGGCCATACCCTTTCCAAGGTTCACTTTTCCTGGAAAGCCCCTGGAGCTTCCCTGGCTCTTATCCTGTGAAGCCGGCTCTGGCCACCAGGGGGCAGGGCCATGAACTCAGCCTGGAGGGAGCCTGCGGGGCAGCCAGCACTTTGGAGGGACAGACAGAAGAGGCCACCAGGTGCAGACAGGAGAGGGAGGCACGGGGACGGAATGGAAGACGCCTGGGCTGGGTGGAAGTCAGTGCCCTTAGGTGCTGATACCTGTCTTCCCGGCCACCGCTAGATCAGGCTTCTGAGCCTGTTGGCTGTCAGGGCCGGACTGCGCCCTGTAGGCGCCATGGCAGTCCCCGTGGAATCCCCCAGGTGCCACCAGGCAGCATACAGGTAACAAGCCTGGAAGGTCCCCAACAGCCTAGCTGGACATGCTCAAGACACTCTGGGGCTCCTCGTTCGGTGGCACAAACTCCAGGACCCAGTGAGGGAAACGGGAACACACCAGGCCGAGGAGTATGGCTAAATCCGTTTATTCCAAAATAAAAAGCAAAATAAACAGGTGTCACACCACTACGGAGCCATGACCCCATCTCCGACTCCTTCCTCTGTCGTATGCTAGCAATAAATAAGTTTCCCAGCCACAAATAATTATTAGAACCTCCTCCCCACATGCCAGCTCCAACCACAGCTAGGTACCATACAGGGGTGGCCTCACCCTCTGGAATATACAAAATGTTACACAGACAAAATGTGTACACTGGGGAAGGGGGTCCACGCCAGCAGCCCGTGTCCTCGCCTGGTCCACAGTTAGCCCCACTGTCCTGCCTCAGCTACCTCTCTGAATAAGAAGCTGGGAGCCTCCCTGAGGGAAAAGTTGCTATGGTGAGAGAAAGGAGGCCATCAGGCCTCCTCCAAACAAACCAACTCCACCAGCCTCTGGCTCTTAAATAACAATCATCATCATCCAGAAATTTAAGGACTCAGCCCTGGTCAAGGTGGCAAAGGGTCTGTTTGTCTTTCCACATTAGACAGAGGTCTTGTCTTGCTACCTTAATTGTAAAGGGGTGACTGGGAAGGGGTGGCAGGGACATGGTGGCGGTGGAGACTCCAGCCCCACTTCTCCAGGGCTTGCTGTCAGGGGCCTGCTTTTAATTTTCATTTTTGTCCCATGACTTTAAAATCCCATAACTTCTTTTTCGTAAGTTTTTTTTAGTAACTTCCCATAAAACTTTTTTCTCCTTTTTTGCCACAACTTTTTTACTTTTTTATCCCATAACTTTTTCACCCCATAACTTTAATCCCATAACATTTTATTTTGTGTTCTTTTAATAAACACCTGCATAGTTATATTACAATTTTATAAAAATGCAACAGATTATCTCATGCCAAGCATGCCCAGCATTTGCACAGTATCAATACCTTTAATATTATAGTTTTCAAGACACGCAAAATAAAATTTTAAGGAAAAATCAGCACTTTGCAACAATTAAATCATTTATTACATTACAGTAGCATCACACCAGCAGTCAATAGTGCCACTTTAGGCAAAAGTCTTTCAGTATTTCTATTATACATTCTGTTTACAAGAATTCATAAATTGGTAAAATTCATTCTAAGAAAACTTGACAAATAAAGCTTTGGGCTGGAATTGGCATTTCTTTCTTTGCTTTTCCTTCCCACCATTTGCTTCTTTTAAACTACAGTGTTCATATTTTAAAATGTTTTAACTTATTTCAGAACACTAAGAGAGCAGTTACATTTTTTAATAGTTATATTGTTTTAAAAATGACTCTTTAAGATAAGATTTTAGACTAACTATATTACGGATAGGGCTGATTTACATTTTCAAATTCCTAAAAGTCAGCTTTGGTTTTAGAGCTCATTTTGGTTTTTTTCATTTCTGGAAAACCTATCAGGTTTAATCAAATACTTTAAAAATGATTACTATATATTGCAATCTTTAAATAGATGTTTTGATTCTTCCTACAGAAATTCAAATTTATTCAGTTGAAATCACACTGTAAAATTCTATGTTTCTGATGAACTCTAACCTTCCAATGTTGCCTTCTAAGCAAATCGAAAGCTGCCTTACACTGAATGAGGAACAGCACAAATACTTGGCTGAATGAGGTATCGCAAAAGACTGCGTGCACTTTGAAGAAAGACTTAAGTTACTGTCCTACGATTTCCATTCTTTTTAGCTTTTTCTTAAATATATGCCAAATACCTACACAAATAGTGGAATTTCAGTTAATACAGTAAATTTATTTTCCAGACGGACATTCAGCTGAAATACGCCAGCGTGTGATTTAACCCATCGGCACCTGATGAACACAGTATGGTCAGATTAGTCACAGATGCTAAACACTATCTGAAGGTCATTCCCAGTCACTGATGTTTATCAGGGTAAAAGTGAAGTGATTTCAACGATAAAAGTACCTTTGAAATAATTTATCCATGTATTAGATAAACCCAGTTTCAGAATGATAAAGAAAAAACATTAGACCAAATAATATGGCTAATTAACAGTGGTCCGATTTCTAGCCCGAGGTTTTAAAATGGACTTAAAGTAACTGTCTTTAAACTGAACTCAAAGAATGCAAAAGTGGCAAGTTCAGAAAATAAAAGGCAAGAACAGGACTTTAAGTCCATTTTGAACTCCCACCACGTAAGGGCGAACTCGATATACATGCTAATGACCTACAATTATGAAATTAAAAAAGAAAATGCTAAAGGATGCCAGAGTGAACGTCAGGGAAGGCCACAGAGACCCACTCTCTTTTAACTTTTTACAAATAAACTTAAACTATAAATTAGAAACACAAATAATCAAGAGTGGCTCTAACATTCCAATGAAGTAAATGAATTGTGTAGGAGATTAACCCCATAACTTTGTTTCTTTTTAAAAAATGTCTTGATCAGCTCCTTGATGATGGTGATGTTTATCTCCTTCTTCTCCGCAGCCAAGCCCAGCAAAAGAACGGCACGCAGAGGTTGCTGCCCAAGCCTGGGTGCTCCTGCTGCTCCTGCGCGATGGGCTGTGCAGTAGGGTTGTCGTGGGGAGACCCCTCCCTGGCCTCTCCTTGCCCAGTCTCGGCGCTGACGGTGAGGCTCACCTCACAAAGATCTTTGGAGAGAGGGAGGCGGGGATCTGAGTGCAGTGCCAGCACCCCCTGCTCCTGCCTGTCCGCCCCGCCTGAGGGCTCTACTCACCACCATGCTTGTGGGCAGCCCCAAGCTCCTGGGGGTCTGGGACTCCTGGACGGGGCTCATGAGCTGGGTTCTGGGAAGAGGTCAGGAGTTTGCTGTGCTCGTTGTTGTGGTCGGCACAAGCCGTAATAGCATCTCCTGCAGCTCCACCTGGAGGGACGGGTGCTCAGCTGTCACACCGCTGCCGCCGCCCACCCTCACGCCCACCCCCATGCCCACCCCCACCCCCGCAGAGATGTTGCACACCCCACCTTCATCTCCTCCCTGTGCTGGACCAGCCCGATGATGTCCTCCTCCCATTGCTGCATCCTCGGCACTGCCCCCTGCCTCTGTTAGAAGCTGATGAACATTCCTGTGGGAGGACAGGGCTCAGATGCTGGGGCTCCTCCGAAGACCCTGCAGCTCCCCCTGCCCTGCCCTGGCCTCCCACTCACTGATGGCATCTCTCTCCCCAGTATTCGATGAATGGAAGTTCGGGTTTCTCCACCAGCTCACTCAGGTCCGCCATCTCCTCCCGGTGGTCCATACAGCCGCTCTGGAGCCAAAATAATGGGGTCACATCTCGGCAGCGACCTGCCCTCAGGTGGCATTTTCAAGTAAGTCATGGAGAAGCTGGAGGCGAGTCCTGGCATGGGCCAACTTCTCCATGACTTCCTGCAGGGCCCGGTGGGTCCCCCCACTCACAGACTCGCCCCCAGTCCCTGGGGCTGGGACCGCTGCCTCTGGCTCCTTCTGGGCCGAGGCCACCAGGTGAGCCAGGTGCTGGCAGCACACCCTCTGCTCTGTCACCCGCTCTCGTAACCGTGCCTGCTCCTCCTGGGCACTGGCTCCAGCGGATTTGAAAAATGCCACCTGAGGGCAAGACGTGAGCATTCTTGTAGGGGCATACACAGAACAAATGGGGCAGAGGGGTGCAGCGCAGCCCCTTTCCTTGGGGCCTCAGTTCGTCACAGGTGAAATGGGGTCTGACCACTGGCTCTCGGAAGGGGTGAGGGTGCAGAGAAATCAGAAGGCAGGGAAAGTAAGAGCATAAAGGGGTCTGGGAGGGACCACAGAGGAAGGTGGCAAAATCGGTGCGGAGGGAGTCAGGCTCACCATGGCCTCCCAGCTCTCCAGGTCCTCTGGGAGGCTCGGCATGGGCTGAGGTGCCTCCTCCTCCGCACTGCCCAGATGTTCTCCTCCATCTCCTGTGGGGGGTGGCCAGAGGGCTCCTCAGACAACCCAACAATGGAGGTACTGTGGGCCCACCTCTGCCTCCACCCTCACTATGTAACCCTGAGCCAGCCCCTCCCCAGAGAGGAATGAGCTGCTGTTCTTTATTTTTACTTTTAAGAACCAAGATCTTGCTATATTGCCCAGGCACAGTCCCACTACCGGTCGGTTTGGGAGTTCTGACCTGTTCCGTTTCTGACCTGGGCCAGTTCAGCCATCCTTAGGCAACTTGGTGGCTCCCCGCTCCCAGGAGGTCACCATATTGGTGCCGAACTTAGTGCAGACATCCGGTTGGCATAATGACCAGCTGTTCTAAGGGTCTCTTCCAACTCCTCAATCCTACGCTGCTAACAGTCCCCCCTTCCTCCTGGGGCTCTCTCCTCTTCCTCTGAGTGGTCTCCGGTACCTTCCCCAGGGAGAGCCGTGAGGTTCAACGGGGCATTCAGCTGCTGGCTCTGCTGGCTGGAAGCTTCCAGGCGCTCCTAAGGGGCCAGGAAAGAGTGAGAAGGCACGGAGTTTGCCAGGTCGTCCCCCTCACAGCCCCATCCTCAGCAGCTCCCTCCCCTGGGTCTCCTGCCACTTTTAGCGGGCCATCTCGGCCACCGCTTTGCCCCAAGCTTCCTGCTGCTGCAGCTGGTTCATTAGCTGGGTCGCTGCAGTAACTGCCTGTGCAGCGCCTCCTTCTCAGAGGTCAGCTGCTGATAAGTGGCCGCCTGCTGCTGATAGATGGCTACGGACTGCTGCAGGTGACCAGGTAATGGTCTGGTTGCTGCTGCAGACTCTGAGCCTCTTGGCTCTTCAGCTCCACCTACAAGAAGACCGTGGGTGTGACGGCACGTGGCGGCTGGCTTCCAGATTCTGGGCCCATTAATAGGGTCTCCAGGGCACTGTGGGGCTCTGTCACCTGCCCAGGACCGTCGCCCCTTACTCCAGGCCTAAGTGACTGCCTCCCTTTCCTAGAACCCTATGCCTCCTTCCCCAGGCTCAAATCTCATACCCTCCTTCACCATTTAAACTGTAGTCCACAGACTGGTGGAAAAGCAGTGGGAGCCAGCTGCCATCTGCTAAGTGTGCTACAGGCCTAATGCTTTCCATGTATTATCTCATTTAAACCACAGCACCTCTGTAAGGAAAATGCTAACTTTCTTTTAAAGTTAAAGAAACAGAAACTTAGAGATGCAAAGTACTTGAATGGTGACCAGTGGAACCAAGGCTGGAATCCAGTTGTAACATAAGGAGCCTTTGTGTTTTGTTTTGAGACAGAGTGTCACTCTGTGGCCTAGGCTAGAGTGCAGTGGTGCAATCTCAGCTCACTGCAACCTCCACCTCCTGGGCTCAAGAGATTCTCATGCCTCAGCCTCCTGAGTAGGTGGGATTACAGGCATGCACCACCATGCCCGTTTTGTTTGTTTTTGTAATTTTAGTAGAGATGTTACCATGTTGGCCAGGCTGATCTCAAACTCCCAACCTCAAGTGATTCTCCTGCCTCAGCCTCCCAAAGTGCTGAGATTATAGGCGTGAGCCACCGTGCCTGGCATAAGGAGCCTCTTATCCCACTGTCTCTTCCCCTATGACTGGGGGCTCCATGCCTCTAGCCGGGATGACGATTTCCAGACCTGGGAGGAGCCCAGGGCTACCCACCTCTAAAAGTCAGAAGGCAGGAAGGAAGAAATAGTCACAAGACTGCCCTGGAGGGTGCTGGGGTAACCTGGCCCCAGGCTGCAGCTGCCTCTGGCCTGGCACACCCCTCCCCAGAGGCTGGTGCCTGCTTCCCAGCCCTTCTTGGATGGGGTGGGGGTTACTGTCTCCTTCACCTCGTCCAGCGTCTCCTGTAGCTCCTCCACTTGCTGCTCCGACTGCAGTGCGCTCTTGTTCTCGTTGTTCTGGACAGAGAGAAGGAATCAGCAGCCACCCACTGCAGCTGGAGACCCTAGGACTCGGTGTCTGCCTCCCATGGCACCGGGAAGGGTGGAGGCAGGTTAGAAAAATCATCCCCTCTCTCCCACAGCCACCAGAGCAGGGCCCTGGCTCACAGTTGCCTTTAAAAGTAACATTTCACGTGAGGGCTACACTGCCCCATTTTACAGGTGGGGAAACAAAGGCCTGGAGGGCCAGGGAGGAGGGCAGGCCCCGCAGTTGGGGCAACGCACCAGCTCCTCGACACCGCTCTGTGGCTCGGCCAGCTGCGGAAGCTTCTCCTCCTGCTTCCGAAGCCTCTCCTCCTGCCTCCCAAGCCTCTCCTTTTGTGGCTGGTTCAGGAGACTTACGTGTTGATGGTTTTCCACGTGGGCCTGGAGCTCTGCTGACACCCTCTCTAGTTCCTTCCTCAGGTGCTGCAGCTCCTCCTCAGCGGGCACTGCTGGGGGCTCCGGGGGCAGGGGTTTAGCTGAGAAAGGAAGCAGACAATAAGGGCCTCTGGATTCTCAAAAACAAAAACAAAACAAAACAAACAACAACAACAAAAAACCCCTGCTCTTGGTGCACAGCTCCTCTCAGGCTCCCCAAACTTGGCCTCACTGCTAATGATTCCTCGCACCCGGATAGTAGCCAATCTTCCAAACCACTTTCAGATGGAGAGCACTGTGGGTGACTGACAACGGGCCCCCTTTGCTGATGGGGACACTGAGGCTCATGGAGATAACAAGACTTGCTGTCTCCCGGCACAGACCTCTTTCCCTCTGCCTCAAAGCCCTTCCATCCACTCACCTCCCTGGGGCATTCTAAGCCCCTCCACAGCCCTCTGATGCCAGGCCTGCTCCCACGTCACACCAGCCCCATCTCACCCATCTGGTGTTTGAGTTTGGACAAGCTCCTCTTCAGCTCCTCCACCCGATGTGTGTCATCCTTCTTCTCCTTCTTCAAGGTGCAAACCTGCCCAAAGCACAGGGGAAAAGCACCCTGGAGAGAGGGGCTGGTGGCTGGTGGCTGCCATCTCCCTCTCTGCCCCCACCTCCACAAAGCCCAGACCCATGACCACCTCTGGCTGTATATTCCCATGTTACAGATGCCCAGAAAGATCCAGTGACCTATCTAAGGTGGCGGGGCTGAAGGGTCAGATCTCACCTCCTGCCACATTTTTCTCATCCTCTGCTGCCACTGGGCCCTCTCTCCTTTTAGATGTTGAGCATATTCCTCTCTCTCCAGATGGGCTTGTTTAAGTGAATCCTTCATCTGCAAGAATGGGCACAGAAGTTAGGAAGGGCTGTCACTGGTCCTCACCTGCTCCTGGCCACCTGGGGTCATCTTCCTTCCACATCTCTCCCTCTGCAAAATCTCACCTGGGTCAGCTGTGCTTTCAGAAGTGCCTGCTCCCGTGTGGACCACTCTAACTTCCACTCCATACATGCTTTCCTGTGGCTCGAGGACTGGATGGTGAAGAGTGAGAAGTTTCCATCTGGGGAGCCCGGGCCATTCCACACAGTGCCTCTTAAAAGGGCTAGGTCTAGGCTCCATATACAACTTGGTCAGTAAAGATCAAGGCATTTCCAAGCCCATGGTCTGGTTTTTAAAAGAACTCAGTAAAGTTGGAAGGGACAGGGAAAGAGATCGAATTTACAGCTGGCTAACAGAGGCCCAGAGAGATCAGATAATATTGCTCTTGTTATTACTGTTATTACTAGCACTGTCTGAACCTTTATGGAGTGTTTCACCAGGTACCATGCTAGCAATCCCATTTAATCCTCACAACCAACATAGGAGACAGTTACTATAATGACGTCTATTGTGTAGATGAAAAATCATGAAGTATTTGAGGTTAAGCGCTTGCCTAACATCACTTAGGCAGAGTTGGGATTTGAACACCCAGGTCTATCCGATTCTCTAAGCCCATTTTGCTTGCTGGGGATGGGGGCACAGATAGGAAGGGGAAAATTAATCTTTTGTTTACTTTTTGAAAGGATGACACATTCGTATAGTTCAAAACTCAGAAGGTACAGAAGGGAAGTATCTCCCAGTCGCCCTGTGGCTCTCTCCTGAGTTTTTTTTATGAACCCTTGCAGACATGTTTTCTGTATATTATCATAATATGTACACACACACACACACACACACACACACACACACACACACACACAGGTTTCCTCTCTCTACAGAAATGGTAGCATACTAAGGATACTCTTCTGTACCTTCACAGTACAAGTACCCAATACTCCACCTAGGACTTGGCCAAGACCACAGCCAGGTAAGGGCAGGGCAGGCACTTGGCCTCCAAGCTCTACGTCCAGTGCTCCCCACCACACCCCCCAACTCACCCACAGCAGCTGACTCAGCCCCAGGCTGCCTGTAACAACCAGACACAAAAGCAGTGAGACAAGGCCATGCTGCCTCCTGGGCAGGACACTGCATCCTGCAGAAGGGACTTTTAGGCTCACTCCTCCATCTGCGAAGCCGGGCTCCCAGGGGACAGGGCAGGTGGTTGAACTCACACTGATCTCCTTCTCCTCCTGTGTGGCGGGGACAGCAGACAGAGCCTGCTCTAACTCTTCTATACACTGCAGTGTTTGTTGCAGGCGGCCAGCCAGATCCTTGCACTCTTCTGTAATGAGAGTTGAGATGGGGCCCAAAGGACTCTCCCTAAAGACCTGTCAAAGTGCCAGGTTGAAGGGTGACAGGGTGCCCAGATTCCCACCTTCAAAGTATATGAGAGAGCGTTTCGTGCGATACACGTCAATAGTTAGTTTCTTTTTCTGTACGTTCAATCTCTGGATTTGAACCTTTAGGAGAAAAGTCAAGTAAGTGCTGGAAGAGAAGGAAAGAAACATTCCCCGGAGGACAGGAGAAAACTTCACACCCTCCACTCACCTCTAGCTCCCTTTCAGTTTTCTGTTTCTCATTGTTTGCCTTCTTTTCCTATAGGAAGAGGAAGACAGAGCTCTTACCAGGGGGAGGCAGAGATGGCACAGCAAGAGACATGCCCCCAGAAAGCCACCAATGCCCCAGGACAGGCCCACCCATGGGACCAGGTTATCAGGGACCCTGTGGGGATGGGGTGGAATCTGAGGGGTGAGCCTTCTTCCCCAGGCTGGGAGTGGGCGAGACTGGGGCCTCTACATCTGAGTGCCCCCCAAACCCAGCAGTCATGTCGCGAGGAAACAAAGAAATCACATTACTTCTTCCAGCTGATGTTCCACTTGTTTCTTCTGTCGTTCCTGTGGGGAGAGTCAAATTAAGGTGAGGGAGGGTGGCCCCTCAACTCTATTCTCCAGACCAGGAAGCGGTAGGCAGGGGCCAGGAATGGATTTTAAAGGCAAAGTTCTCAGACCCAACGGGAACACGAACTGGTCAACTCTCCTCAAGCTCCCAAGGACAGAGGATTTGGGTCTTTGTTGGTTTTCACCCACAGCCACAGAACTCAAAGTCTGAATGTGGAATCTCTTGAGGGGACAGGAACACAATCCTCTAGAGATGGAGTTGGAGAAAGGCCCCCCTTCTGCCCGCTTGTGATTTAGAAAAGTGCGTTCATTCAATAAACATTGACTGAGCACGTACGGGCCAGGTACGGCTCTTCACAGCAGATATAGGACGGAAAAGGACAGACAGCAGCGCTTGGCCCTGAGGTTTCCGTTCTAGGCGGCCTGTAAATCTCGGACTCTCAGAGCTAACAGACACTTTGATACTCACTACCTCCTCTGGAAACACGAGACCAGAAAGGAGAGGCGGCTTGTCCAGAATCAAAGAGCAAATTAGGGACTGAGTCACGGCAGAAATACGGCGCCCCTGACAACCAGTCAGGCTCGCACTCCCCCGAGAGGCCACAACCCCAGGGCGTGTGTAGCAAGGACTTGAGCAGGGGTGTGTGGAGAGGAGACAGTCGGCAAAGAGGGCAGCAAAAGAACAGCCATGCTGCGTGCTCTGGGGTCCCTCCAGGTGAGGTCTGGGAGCCCCAGCTCCCTATTTGCCCTTGGCACCAGAGACCCCCAGCCCCTTTCTTCAGGGCCCCAAGGGGAAACTGGAGCCCGGGATTGGCAGCGTGGAATCAGGGGACCCCACTGGACTCTTACCAGAGATTTGATGATGTTATTGAGTCGACTGATTTTGACGAACCTCGAGTCCAGGACAGCTGCTAGTTCTTGGGACGGGCTCTGAGGCGCATGTAGAGAAGAGGAGGTGGAGGAGGAGTCGTGGAGAGGTAGAGAGAACAATCATTAGGGCTGGGGTGTGTGTGGGCTGTCTCAGCTGGCAGAGGGGCACCCAGTCCCCACTGTGGGAGGAGGTTGGAGGGCTGGCCTGCAGGGTCACTGCACCTCCACCCAGAGCCTCTTACCTCCAGATCCTTGAGGGGTGCAGATGACGTAGGGCCCTCTCTGTCGATACCTGTTGCTGACTACAAGAGATGAGAGTGCACATGGAGATGTTCTGTCCCCCTCAGTGTCAGAGCCCTCTGACTTCCTTTCTTCCCCATCAATGGGCAACATTTTCTTTTCTGCCTATCTTGGACCCTTTGTCCCGTAACTCCTTTATGCCAACTTCTCTCATGGTTCTTATCTCCCCACCATCCCACCCTGGGGCCCTTTCTGTGACTCCTGATGGCAAATGGCTGTTCTCATTGCCCTGGCTTCCCCTTGAGACTGGGGATGAGGAAATTCAAAGAGCAATGACCATATCCTGGATGTCCTGGGTGTTTACAGCAGGCCAAGTACTAGGGATTAACATAAAACAGTAACAAATCTCATTTAAACCTCAAAAATGGAAGTCAAACAATAATACCACCTCTATTACACAGATGTGCAAAGAGAGGCCCAAAGAGCTCAAGCAACTCACCCTAAATCATATCCCTAGCAGATGGAGAGGCAGGATTCAAACCCAGAATTCTGAACCAGTACCCAACAGTCTATCCACAATCTTAACAATTACTCTCTACTGCCCCTTGTGTCCCCTGTCCCCAGGAGCCTGGCCACCAAGACTCACATCCCCAGGTGAGTGGGAACCACCAGAAGTGGCTGTCTCAGGGCTACTGCCATTTGTTTTCCTGTTCTTCTTCACTCCTGCTGGACCACCAGGGCTGTTTCTCTGCCAATATTCTTTTAACTGTGGGAAAGAAGAGCAGTAATCCTCATGGAACCATCAGCCCCTACAGCCACATCCTCCTTACAGTTTTTACAAAATACTCTTATACACCTCTGATTTAATAACACCAACAACTGTACAAAGTGTTGTCACAATCATTTAGTGACTGAGAGGGATTCATATCTTGGCTAGAAAAAAAAAAAGGAAAGAAAAAGGTGATACTGGAACTTTGAAACTCAGTCTTCTGACTCCAAGCTCTGGGGTTTTGAGAAGAATCAGCAGCTGCCTAGGACAAAAACCAGAGGCAGAGGTAGAAAAGTAAACATTAAGTAGGCAGGAACCCTATGCCCTGTGGTTTAGAGTCATACATCCTCACATGTCTGTTAGTGTCAAGAAGTGCACCAGTACCTCTCAAACTTTTATATCAATGTGTCCTCATGGCAGAAGGCAGCCTTTCTGTTAAATCTGGGAATTCATCAGAAAGAGGACAACCCAAGCCTCATTTCAGAGAGAAGTCTGATATACTCTTGGAAACCTGTGACTGTCATCCTTAAGTACATTAATGTTTTTTCTCCTGATCTCAAGAGAATCAAGGGAAACTGATGCTTCAGAAAGATGTCCCATATTTGTCCTGTGGCACTCAAGGTACACCAGGTTGAGATAATATGAGGAAGATTCAAGCTATCAAGTTCAGTTTCCCAAGATCTATTCCACAGAAGATGAGCAAATCTCACTTCAGAGACCACTGACTGAAGGGCAGTCTGGTCCCAGAACCATGGAGAATTAGAATATGAGGTGGAGAACTCAGAAACAAACGTTAAAATCTCTCTGGAAAGTAGAAGCCTGGGAGAAAACCAAACCAAACCCATCCTCCCATTGCCACATGAAGGTACGGTCAACGTTTTGCGCTCACAGGGGAAGTGTAGGCTTTCCCCCCTGTCAATGTTGATGTTAAGGGAGTGAGACAGCCTGAAACCTCTTGCTCCTAGGTCCCACAGTCTCCATTCCCCTTCCAGCTGCAAATTTGTGCTGTGACCAGAGGAACCAGAAATGGGGTGAGAATGCTTAGGGGACTGGGTCATAAGATCAAAGGCCAGTCTTCCAGTAATGACAGTTCCCAGGCAGACTGTGACATCACTACATTCCACTCCTCCTGATTGGGGGGAGGGACCACATCAGCGCAATGTCCGAGTTACCACTCCACGATGGGGGAGGGAAACACAAGGTTGGGACCCAGGTCCTTGGAGATGCCAGCGCAAAGAGCCCAGGGAGGTTGACCTTGAGGCAGCAGGAGAGGAGGGCAGAGTCTGCAGCAGGGAGCCCCAGGAGTCACCAGCCCAAAGTCACCCAGGGATGACACACGAGGGCAGGGCCTGGGGCTGGGGGACCAAGGTCCCTAGAGATGCAAGCCCAAAGAGCCCAGGGAGGTCAAGCTTGGGGCAGCAGGAGATGAGGGCCCAGTAATGCAGCAGGAAGCCCCAGGAGTCACCCACCCAAAGTCACCCTGGGGTGATTGGCAAGGGCAGGGACTGGGCTGCTTGCTGAAGGGGTGAGGCTGACTGACAAAACTTTGATGGGGGTAGCCCAGAGGCACTAGGGTTAGTGGGCCCAGTCCAGTGTGCCTCAGGAGTGGTATGGACTCTGGCAGTGGTCTTGTTGTCAGAGGCGATCTGTGGCTGGGTTGGGGGGCCATGACCTGGTACGTTTTTACCTTTTTCTTGGCCTCAGCCAATATGCTCTGTCGAGTTTCTTCTGCCATTGCAGAGTGGGGAGGGAGGCGGGGTTGGGGCCACATCAGCAAAATCCCAGTAAGCACTGATCAACACCTCCAGTCACCTACCAGGCAGCTGTGCGACTGAGCCAGAGGAGGCGTAACCAAGGCTGCAGTAGAATACCAAATAGGGGCGTGGCCTTAATGCTCCAAGCCCATTGGTCAATTAGAAAGATGAAAGGGAATGGGGCGTGGCTAGACAGCAGTGTGTCCAGAGGGACTCATGGCTCACAAGGAAAGCTGCCCATGCAACTGCTGTCCCCACCCACTCTAAGAGAGGGGAGAGGTTGTCCACTCTAGGAGAACGGAGGGGCTTTAAAAGCTTTAAAACTTTAAAAAATATATGTGTGTGTACTTTATATATATGTGTGTCCGTGTGTGTGTCTATGTTTACTTCCAGATCTGTCTTCATTACCCAGTTTCTATGCAAGATCTGTGATTTTGGCCTATATTTTTCATCTTCAAATACAGTACAAAAATCCCAGTATTACCTTAATTGAGATACAAAGCCTATAAAAACGGAAAATCCATAGCATGCTTGATGATTAATGAAGCAGACTATATTATTCAACATTCCAAAAAGATAACATAATCACAATGATTTCTCTATTTTGGAAAAACGTTTCTCTTCTTCTATGTTATTCTTAAGATTTTTTTTCTTAAACAAGAAACATGTCTAATATCTGTAAAAAGGCAAAGCTTTTGGGTCAGGCGCAGTGGCTCACACCTGTAATCCCAGCACTTTGGGAGGCCGAGGCAGGCGGATGATGGAGTCAGGAGATCGAGGTCATCCTGGCTAACACGGTGAAACCCCATCTCTACTAAAAATACAAAAAATTAGCCAGGCGTGGTGGCAGACGCCTGTAGTCCCAGCTACTTGGGAGGCTGAGGCAGGAGAATGTCATGAAACCTGGAGGCAGAGCTTGCAGTGAGCCAAGATCACGCCACTGCACTCCAGCCTGGGCAACAGAGCAAGGCTCTGTCTCAAATAAATACAGAAATAATTGTTCACTGTATCAGTTGTTCACAAAAAAGAACCAACATGTCCATTAACAGGGAACTATTTAAATTAATCAAGTTCATCTACATGATGTAATACCATACAACTATTTAAAAGCACCTAGTAAACCAATACACACTGAGATGGAATAATGCTATTAAAAACAGCAAGTAGTAGAACACTGTGTTGCCTACGACACCATTTTTATTCAACATTTAAACAAATTTATAACAGCAATTATATGAGCAGTGAGAATGGGGTTTATGAGACTTCATTTTTATGTGCTTCTATTTTTGTTATGCTTCTGTATATACATCCATTTATTATGGAGTATTATTTTTGAAAAAACAAATGGGCCAGTATTGTTTGGTGTTGCAAAGCGAGAGTATAGCTTCTGATATCAACTTTTGCATACTGCTTCTCATTTTAGGGAAATTACGAACCTCCCTCATTCTAACTAACTTAAACCCAGAATTTCAAACATACAGAATTGATGACAAAAAGAAAGAAAGAAAGAAAGGAAAGACAAGGAGCTTCAGATGACAGTGACTCATACTAAATTATTTATGCTGTAACGCTTGTTAAATAGTGCCATATTCTAGACATACTTGGTATTACAGTCCAGCTCCAGTTGATCGCTTTTTACAGAGACGAGGAACAAAGGAAAAAAACACTCAAGTAGTGAAAAGTATGGAGTCATGGAAAAATTGCTGTAATGCAAAGCCTATGGTCATAGGACATGAAACAAGAGAACTCCAAACAGTAAGCCCCTGCTGTTCTATTAGCATCCAAACCTCCATACTCCTGTCTGCCCCAAGGCTTTTTTAAAAAATGGAGACAGGGTCTAACTATTTTGCCCAGGCTGGTCTTGAACTCCTGGACTAAAGCGACCCTCCTGCCTTGGCCTCCCAAAGTGCTGAGATTACAGGCTTGCATCACCTTACCTGGCTATTCATATCTTCTTAACTCTCTTGCCTGGCCTATAGCCACCATGGAAGCTAATAAAGAATATTAATTTAAGAGTAATGGTAGAGTTCACTACATTGAAATACACGTATAAGTGTCTAAATTGTACATGAAAGGCATCCATGGATCGATTACCCCCCCGGGTGGCCAAAGGAACTGCGCGAACCTTCCTTGGCTGTTTGGATCAAGCTTCCCACTAGGTCCCTTTACTGAGTGCCTCCCTCATCTTTAATTATGGTGAAGTCTGGGATAACAGGACTGGCACAGGGGAGGGGAAAGCTTCCTCCAGAGTTGCGCTACCCTCTCCTCTACCATCCTATCTCCTCACTCCTGTCAGCCAGGGAGTCCAATCTGTCCTGAACTCAGAATGTCACCGTCAACTACATAAAATCGCCAGAGAAGCTCTTTGGGACTACAAACACATACCCTTAATGTCTTTATTTCTATTTTGTCTACCTCTTCAGTCTAGGTGAAAAAATAAGAAGGATAATAGGGAAGAACTTTGTTTATGCCACTTGTCCGCCCCTAAGAATTTTGAAAACCTCTAGGTAGCAATAAGAACCGCAGCATGGTATAAGAAAAGAGGAGGAAAAGCTGTACAGAACTGCATAATAAATGGGCTGGAAAAGAACTGCTGGGAATAAACAGGTAGGTTGAACTATATAGAGAGAAAGCAGAGAGGCTAATTAACAAGGCTGGGATCCCAAAGGGGCATGATGAGAATATTACCAAAGTAGGAAGTCCTGGCTCCATGTCCCCTTAGTGGCTTAGTACTATGCAGCTTGCTTTCTGCAGTGAACTTCAGACCTTCCTGCTAGGATCCTCGAATGGAATTTTCTTATTGGAAAACAGTCGTTCTCTCGACATTCAGGTAGGCCCAAGTCTGCCACACTCGATCACATTTTCTCTTCATATAATCTCTCAACCATCCTCTATCCTTTAACTGTTTTTCTATAACCTGATCGAATGGCAACAAAAGTGAGAATGTTAGAATCATATATTTTTAGAGGTAGACCATACCTCAGATTTAAAAAATGGCAGATATTCCATTTTCCAAAATGCGTATGCAGAAAAAATAAGTCTGGAAGGATATATGCTTAGGTAATCAGTTAATTTATTTACTTGTATTTTATGAATTCTTTTAAATAAACACATTGCTTTTAAAAAAAAGACTAAAGGTTTCTGTCAGTTAAAAAATGACACCGATGAAGCAGAGTCCTTACAGATCATCCAGTCTGACCCTGGCCCATACGGTAGCCACGTGTGGTGTATCAGTTCCTTAAAAATGCAGTTCCTGTGCTGCACAAGATGTGTCAAGTGCTCAAAAGCCACATGTCACTAGTGGCTCTGTGCCACACAGCAGGGACATAAAAGATTTCCATCCTCAAAGAAAGTTCTATTGAACAGCACTGCTCTAATTAAATAAAAGATGCCATTGAGCACAACATGGTAATAGAAAAGATTGAAGAGGTAGTGCTGATACTTAAAAACCTGGTATTTTCAGCCAGGCGTGGTGGCTCATGCCTGTAATCCTAGCACTTTGGGAGACTGAGGTGGGGAGGATGGCTTAAGGCCAGGAGTTCTAGACCAGCCTGGGCAACATGGTGAAACCGTGTCTCTACAAAAAATATAAAAAATTAGCTGGCATGGTGACATGCGCCTGTAGTCCCAGCTACTTGGGAGGCTGAGGTGGGAGATCACCTGAGCCCAGGAGGTCAAGTCTGCAATGAGGTGAGATTGCACCACCACACTCCAGCCTGGGTGACAGAGTGAGACCCTGTCTCAAAAAAACCAGGAAAACAAAAAAACAAAACAAAAACACCTGATATTTATTTTTAAGTCCTCTATTTTCATACATTCAGAAGTTATTCCATCCTATCTTCATGGTTTCCATTCTATGCCTGGTTTAGGATTGGAATCTGATCAAATAAACATGTTCAACAGAACCAGTTCTCATGGCTGTATAACAGATGATCAATACATATTTGATGAGGAAATTATTCAATTTTCTTAATTTTTTTCACAAAATTTGTGGTTTCAAGGGACCAAACTTGAATACTACACCTTCATGTTCTAAGAATCAGGGGACTTATATAAAACCTCTGTTGCCTGATAAGGGCTACATCGAAGTGAAAAGCCATGGGAAAAAAACTAGAAAGTATACTTTTGACCCTAGTTCTGTAAAGTTTCCTTATGCCACAGATAATACACATCCCCATTCCTGCCAAATTCCTTCCCTCATCTCCATCTATTGTCTTGATTCCATAAATAGGAGAAGAGCATGAATTTGCTTTAGTTAGACAGATAGATGGATAGATAGATGGAGAGAGAGAGAGAGAGAGAGAGAGAGAGAGAGAGATAGACACAAATATGGAGATAGAGATGGAGATAGAGACAGATTTGCAGAAGACAAGTTATAGGTAAACTAGTGTCAACATCAAAGTGGTATACCTACATCTAACTATTCTGGAAAGAAAAGCATACCTCAAAGAAATTGACTTAAGTACATACAGAGAAAAAGTTTAAGCTGAAAGCTACTGTCCTCTTATATGAGACACTTAAGAAGTTGCCGGGCGCGGTGGCTCAAGCCTGTAATCCCAGCACTTTGGGAGGCCGAGGTGGGTGGATCACGAGGTCAGGAAATCGAGACCATCCTGGCTAACACGGTGAAACCCCGTCTCTACTAAAAATAGAAAAAATTAGCCGGGTGTGGTGTTGGGCGCCTGTAGTCCCAGCTACTCGGGAGGCTGAGGCAGGAGAATGGCGTGAACCCAGGAGGCAGAGCTTGCAGTGAGCCAAGAGCAAGCCACTGCACTCCAGCCTGGGCGGACAGAGCGAGACTCTGCCTCAAAAAAAAAAAAAAAAAAAAAAAAAAAAATTACTTGGGGGCAAGTGAGAAAATGGAGAGACACAGCTCAGAGGATACAAAGTAGCACGTATGTAGGATGAACAAGTCTAGAAATATAATGTACAACATGAGAAATATAGGTAATAAAATTGCTGTATTTGGGATTCACGCTAA